ACTCGCCTTTTCCTCCCTCATTTTTACTCCTACCCCCTTCCTCCCACATCTAATCATCATTTCTTCTCCGAATTTTATTACTCATTATTATTATTAATATTATTATTAATAGTTTTTCAACCGCGATTCGCGATAAAGTTTGAATAAACTTTGATTTCCGTTTCCGGTATTTATTTCCGTTTTTTTTGAATGAGTTCGAATGAGATTTTCTTTAAATTTTCGACACGGTTCGAGATGACGGGTGTGAAGCGGCATTGCAAGTTCGTTTATCTTCTGCTTCATGGGTTTCCACCACCAACGCCCCCCCCCCCCCGCCACCACTACGAGAGTTTTATATTATTATAGTTTCGGTACGATTTAAACCTTTTAAATTTAAATTCGAACGGTTGACATAAAAAAAAAAAAAAAAAGTTCGCGGTAATAATTTTTTTTATTGGGGGGGGGGAGAAATGGGGAAAAAGTTTCATTTCATTTCAATATTCTTCCCATTTTTGAAATTGTGCGTGCGTGTGGCGGGGGGAGTGGTACGCGTGTGCGTTAGTGTCGGATCGGTACGAAAAAATTTTCCTGATGCGAATTATCGTTTTCTCGGTATTGTTATTATTATAATCGTCGTCGTTTCGTAACGTTTAACACTCGAATTTATAGGATCAAAGGTCAAAAGGTTATCGTTTTCAATCCTTTTTTTTTTTACCGCACGCATTAAACTTGCGTACGATGACGTCACGTCGATATATATATGTCGGACGGGAAGAAAAAATAAAAGATATTTTCTCTTTTCCGTTTTTCTTTTTTCTTTTTCATTTTTTTTTGTTCTTTCTCTCTCTTTCTCTTTCACTCTTTTTCTCTCTCACACACGCACACACATTCTCTCTCTCTCTCTCTCTCGTACACATAATTTCCTCCCTTTATTTTTATTAATTCATTCAAAATTTAAACAGTCGAAACATAACTTTTTTTTTTATTATTATTATTTTTATTTCGTATTCTTTCCACTTTTTTTTTCATTCTTTCTTTCTTTCCTTCTTTCACGCATTTATCTATCCATCTATCTCTTTTTTTTATATTATGCTTTTCGAAAAAAATGTTTTTTTTTTTATTTAAATCGATTTACTTTTCATACTACGATTGTTATATATATATATGTGTGTGAACGAAAGTCGCAATAAACTTCCTTGTTATTATATATCATGGTAGAATCATAAAAACAACCAACAAACACGCATCTCAAAAGGCTTTTGTCGCGAATAAATTTTCACGACGGATTCGGTACGTGGCATTAAGCGTGACGTCGTGACGTAAATTCGAATCGTTTTCCTTCGCTTTTCTTTTCATTATTATTATTATTATTATTATTATTATTAAAAATTTTATTAAGAGGTAAAGAAACAAAAACTTTTTACTTTTTACGTAAAACGGAAACGGATGCGACGGATTTAAGAAAACGAAATAGAAAAAAATAAATAATAATAATAATAACTTTTTCCCCCGTTGTCATATTAATAATGATGATGATGATGATGATGATAAAGGTTAAACGAATAAGGGGGGAGGGAAAAAATAAAAAAAATAAAAGGAAGAAAGAAGGAAAAAAAAAAGTTTCGAAAATGCGATTCCTTTAAAAATTATGTTTCCTGCCATTGTTATCAATAACCTGATTTTTATTATCATTATCATTATTATTATTACCATCTTTAATTTCATTAATTTTTTTTTTTTTTTTTTTTTTTTTTTTAAGGAACATAAAATCCGCTCGAATAAATCATTTTATTATTTATTTATTTATTTTTATTTTTTTTTTACTTTTTCTGACGTTTAGTCGTTTCGCTCTTCTTCCTTTTTTGGTTTTTTGGTTTTTTTTTTTTTTTTTCGAGTTCCAGCGTTGGGGTTTCATTTCGGGAATTTTAGTTTGAGAGGAAAAGGAAAATAACGATGAGGAAAAGAAAACAAAAAAAAAAAAAAAAAAAAAAAAAAAAGAAGCCAAACACAATTTAATTTAATTTAATTTATTTATTTATTTTGATTTTTTAATAAATTTTATTCTATTAAAATTTTTTTATCATTATTATCATCATCATCATTATTATTATCATTATTTTCTTCTTTTCCTTTTTTTTTCCTAAATTGATATTCGTTTGGTTTTTATCGTTATAATCATTATTATTATTTTTACAATTTTTTTTTCCCCCTTTTTTGCCATTTCAATGTGAAGCTTTAAATAATTTTTTTGTTTGTTGGTTTGTTTGTTTGTTTTATTTTTTTTTTTCTCAAAAAATAATGAAACAAACGTAAAATTGTAAATTAAAAAAAAAAAAAAGAAAAAGAAAAACTGTTTGTTTTTGTTTGTTTGAAATGATTCGTAAAAAAAAGTTTCGAAAAAATTATCAAAAACAAGTAAAAAAAAATTTAATTAAAGAATCGCCAATATTATTATTATTATTATTATTATTATTATTATTATTATTATTATTATCATTATCATTATGTGTTTACGTCACGAAAGGACAAATTTCGAATGTGAAAAAAATTTTATTATTAACGCGAAGAGTCGCGTGCCGAAAGAAAAAAAAAAAAATCGGAAATCCCCGAATTTCGATTGGTAAGACTGATGGTTAGTTGTTGACCCGATTTCATTTCCGTTTCCGGTTACAAAAAAAAAAAAAATTGTTTCTGAACAAAAACCGAAAATTTTGGGAAGCCCCCAATTCACACATACACGCGCACGCACACGCAGAAGGCTGAATTCGAACCTGAGATTTTGGTCATTTCACCGCGTTCGAACGTCTTCGTCATCATTAAAATGAAACGGAATTATTATTATCATCATCATCATTATTATTATTATTATTATTATTATTACGATCTTTCGGAGAACACACAATGAAAGGAAGTATTTATGTTTTGTTTGTTTGTTTGTTTTTATTGAGAAATTTAATGATACGTATTGGGTGAATTTAAGTACTGGGTAGATATCGAGTAATTGACTGGAATATTTTATTTACTATTAAAACTGGAGAAAGAAATTTTTCCAAAAAAAAAAAAACTGGAGCGAACGTGGAGGTGAATAAAACAAACAAACAAACGCAAAAAAAATTTAATTTATTCAATTTTATTATTTATTATTATCGGAATTGATTTTTTTTTATTTTTAATATTTACTACGGTTATGCGAAACGGGCTAAATAATCAACGTGACAAACAAACAAACGCTTGGAACAAACCGGAAAAAAAAAAGTCACAAGAAAAATATTATTATTATTATGTTAAAAGGCGTGGCGAACAGGAAAAAAATTGAATGACTTTTTTTTTGTTTTTTTTTTTTTTGCCGTTCGATGCTGTTGTGTTTCGTATCATTTAACGGTGGAAAAAAAAAAAATGAAAAGTTGAACGTGTGTGCGTGTGTGTGAAACGTTCGCTCGTTCGTTTGTTTCTTTCGTTTTCTACAAAAAAGTTTGATTTGTTTTACTTTTTTTTTTTTTTCGTTGTTTGTTTGTTGTTTCTTTCGTTCGTTTTGTTTTTTTTCTGAGATAAAGTTATGACGATGGTGGGTGGGAGGAACGAAGGGTGTAAAAATTTGCAGGAAGGAAAAGAGGAAGAATAGAGAGGGGAGGGAACGGGGGAGGAGGTTTTTTTTTAAAAGCCACATATTGCCAACGCCAACAAACGTTTTTAAATTTCAATACAATTTATTATTATTATTATTTTTTTTATTTTTTTTTTTGTATTTTTTTGGCTTTTTCGAGAAAAAAAAAAAAATCGTCGTAAATATTAAAAACTGACACGGATTGTGCATCAACATTTGCCAAAAAAAAAAAAAAATAATAATAATAAAATTTGTATGCAATAAAATGCATTTAGGAGTATTCCTCCTCCTCCTCCTCCTCCTCCCTCGAATAGGGCGGAAAAAAATTGTATTGTAACGCTTCCCCCCTCTCTCTACCTCCCCTTTTGTTCCCTCGTTCGGGAAAAAAAATTTTGTGGTTTTTTTCGATGATGATGATGATAATTCGATTTTAATTTTTTTTTTTTGCAAAAGGAGGAAGGGTGAGGAGAGGGGATTTTGGGGAGGGGGAAAGGGAAAGGGAAATAATAAGAAAAGCAAAGGGATAAAAAAATTTTTTTTTTCTGATGGTTGTGTTGGTTGCGATTTTTGTCTTTCTCACTCATTCTTTACATTAAAAATTTCGCTTTTGGGAAAATAGAAAAGTTTCAGTTTTTTTTATTTTTTTTTATAACGTTTCCGTTAAGGCAGCCAACACACACAAAAAAAAAAATTATCGATTGCGAACGCGTAAATCCACCGTAGAGTTTTTTTTTTTTTTTTGTCATGGACGAAACGAAACGAATTTTTATTTATATTTTATACTTGACAGACTTTTTAACAACCATCACCTTTTCGTTACCGTTTAAACACATTGAAAACTTAATTACAATTTTTTACTTCCCCCCCCCCCCGAAACGGATTCAAAAGTCCCCCATTAATGTGCGAAACGATGACGTGATTGACGATTACGATAATAATAATAATAATAATTGAATTTAAATAACGTTAAAAAAAAAACAAAAGGCAAAAGATAATAAAGAGAGGGGAAATGTCAAAGGTTATTCGTGAATGCAGAAGAATTTATTATTTATTTATTTTTTAAATAATGACGTCATCACACTAACGGAAACAATCTAACGATTACGACGACGGCGATGATGATAATAATAATGATAATAATAATAATAATTTTTTTTTCTCCTTCATTTCTTTTCTTTTTTCTTTTTCTTGTTTAAATTATTTATTTATTTATATATATATTTTATTTATTTATTTATTTATATATTTATATATCACATAAAAAGGTTATTATTAATAACTAATCGCTGTACAAAAAACAACATTTGGGATATATTAATTATTATTATTATTATTATTGTCCTTATTATCGCAAAGACCATCGAACCGGTGATTGAGCATTGGTTTTAACAGAGGAAAATTCCCCTGTCGGCGATGGTCAAGGTTTGCCGGCGGGAGTTTTTAAATGATCTGGTATTTGTTTATTTGGTAATAGCGGTTGTTGGTGATCGGACGCGGAAGAGGAGGTCGATGAGGATGCGGATGATGCTCCGGTCGCGACGGATTGCGTTGGCCTCGTCCCGTTTAAATTAAACGTTGGATTCCCTGAAGTGGCTGCAGCCGCGGCTGCGACTTTGGATAAAACGATCGAAAGTTGTCCTCCGGGTCCCGCGGCGGGAGGACCCCCGCCTTCCAATCCTCCCCCGAATGTTCTCGAATAAGTTTCGAGTAGGGAAACACTTTCACTCGCCGCACTCCCGGCCAAATGAGCCGCGGGTCCATATAGACTACGGTAAAACTCGTGAGGCGGAGGCCTCGGATACGAGCCCGGCGGTACCGATAGCGGAGGCATAGCGCCTCGGCTCAACGGAGATATTAACTTTCCGGCGGCGGTAGCGTAAAAAGCAGACGTCGTCGACGGCGACGAATGAATGTCGTTTTCCTTGCTCGCCATGTCCGCGAGCGACCATATCCTCGGTTTGGGGGGACCGCTCGGAGACGATGACGATGGCACGTGCAACCTGCTCGCGGGATGTTGAAGGTGTTGGTAAGCGGGATGTAAAAGTTGTTGTTGCCTTTCGAACAAACATTCCGGAGAATCCGGACCGCTGTCGGCCCGAGATTCGCTCCACTCGCTAGCCGTGTCCACGGGTCCGCAAGGTCTATCCAACAATTCCATCCTATGATTGGGCCTTTCTCCATTTTCGCTAGACCCGGTTCCAGAATCTTTAGAATCTGAAATAATAATAATAAAAAAAACAACGGTTTAGTTAGCATCCCTAGTTTAAATTGATTAAAAAGCTGCTTATCGGAGAGAAAGAGAGAGAGTGTGTGTGTGTGTGTGTGTGTGTGTGTGAAAAACAATCGGAATTATAACGAGAATGGAAGAAGGGAAAATGCAAACTGCATTATCATCACCATGAAAGAGGATAATACAATTCTACTAAGTGAATGATTGAATGATAACATCTAATAATAATAATGATGATGATGATCGTTTGACTCCAGCAGCCACCACTGACTGTTTTCTATTATCTGATTTCAATGGATGGATGGAAAGTTGTGTGGGGTTCTTTCGTTTAACATTTGATACGTTTCGTAAAAGATTTTAACAGATTTCAATGTTAAACAATAAATACAATATCCAATTAAATCATTGTAGTAAAAGCCATTTTTTTTTACGTGGCGGCAGAAAGAAAGAAAAAATAAATAACAAGCGGTAAATAAAAATAAATATAAATATAAATATAAATTGTTCAGTAGCGTTTTTTTTTTTTCTAAAAAGTTAAACGATATTGTTTCGATTATTATTAAAAAAAAAAAAAAAAAACGCAGGCGTCACAATTCGGGCGCCGCCACGATATGCTAGACATGTAAAAAAAAAATTTTTTTTTTGCAATTAACAGCAAAAAATAAAAAGTTGGATTCACATGAAAATAATCATCGTAAGTTAACGAAAGTTAAAAAGAAAGAAAGAAAGAAACCTTTTTATTCGAAAGGAATATTGTAATAAAATACCTAGGAGAGCATTTAGTTTCTTATGGGAAACAAAAAGTTTTTATAGTAACAACAACCACAACGACAAACAACAACAACAAATACAAAAACAAAAACAACAACAAAAACAAGGTAGGCGCAAAATGATTCTGCCGTGAGAAAGAAAGAAGGAAAGAAAGGAGGAGATTTCTTTTTTTTTTTCTCTTTAAATTCTTCAATTATTATCATTATCATTATCATTATCATTATTGTTGTTTGTTGTTTGTTGTTGTTTTTCATAAAATTGGGATTAAAGTAAATTTTTACTACATTGAATACGATCGACCGTCCGACGGAACAACCGATCGATCAATTCATATTTTTTAATGAAAAAAATTTAAATTTAATTGACATTTAAAAAAAAAAAAAAATGGCGAAGTGGCGAGAAAAGGCGGTGGACTATTAATAATAATAATACTAATACCGTCAAATCAAAATTTAAATTTTGTTTGTTTGCTTGCTAATCGCGGTTTCGATGTTTATAAAAAGTTTTATACGATTCAAATTAATTTCTTATTCCGAAATTTAAATTAATTATTATTATTATTATTATTTTGTAATTGTTAAAATCAAGTGACGTTTTCGATGATGATGATGATGATGATAATAATGATAATAAAATATTGCAAATATTGATTTCTAAAGCCACGATAATTTTTAGTTTTTTTTTTTTTTTTTCTTTTGTTTCGTTTTTAACCGCCATTAATAATATGATGGATTAGGTTAGTTAGTTAGGAGGTTTGAAAAATTTAATACGTTGAGATGATGACGACGACGACGACGATGAAAAAGAGGGATGCAATAAGGGATGATGATGACGATGATTATATACTAGCATAAGTCGACGTCCGATGCAATGAATTTATTTCCGATGAGTTTTATTACTATTAACTTAAAGGAAGGGGGGAAATGGAGGAGAAGGGGAAAGGGGGAAGTTTTCCGTTAATATTATTATTATTAATCCGTTCCTCTCTCTCTCTCTCTCTCTCTTGTTTATCATCGTGGTATCGAGCACATACGCACTCGCACATTCACACTCACCTGGATCTTTTCCGTTATCCGCACTTTTCCTACCGCTTTCTTCGTTATTATTGTCTTCTTCCTCTACCCTGTTTCTCGGTTCCCACGTCATTTTATTTTCTTTTTTAAGTCTCCGCCTCGCGTTGGCAAACCACGTCGACACTTGAGTCAAAGTCATTTTCGTTATTATTGCCAACATAATTTTTTCACCTTTGGTCGGATACGGATTTTTTTTATGCTCGTTGAGCCAAGCTTTGAGAGTGCTCGTCGTTTCTCTCGTTGCATTTTTCCTTCTCGCACCGTTCAAATCCATACCGTATCTGAAAGTAACAATAATAATAATGATGATGATGATACAAACGGGTTGATTCAATTTTTGTTTTTCCCCCCCCCCTTCCTCCTTCCAAAAAAAAGGTCAAAAAAAAAAGGTGGAAAATGATTTCTCTCTCTTCCGTCGTCATTCGGTCGGTTGTTTCATATCACATGGAATATTTAAAACGTTTTCACGTCCATTTCGACGGGACTGGAAGAGATAAAATTTTCATTTTCATTTTCATTTTTTTTTTTTTTAACCCTGGACGTTTTTTTTTTTTTTTTTTTTTTTTTCCATCAGCAAACTTTTTATCGTTTCTCCCCTCCCCCCTCTCCCCACTTTTTTTGTACACAAAAAGATTTTTTTTTTTTTATACGGTTTAGTATTTTAAAAATTGAATTTCGTGCTTTTAAATATGAAACATTTTTAAGTGCAAACGTAAATGATTTTTTTTTTTTTAAAGTTAATTTTATTTAAACCTTTCTCTATCTCTCTCTCTCACTCTCTCTCTCTCTCTCTCTCTCTCTCTCTCTCTCTCTGTCTCTCTTTCACTCACTATTTTTTCATCTATCTCACTTTTTTTTCTCTACATCTCCCTCTTTCTCTTTTTTTTTTTTTTTTTAAACCCATTTAAAAAACGGAATTAAAAATATTAAACCGTTTCTCTCTTCTCTCTCTCTCTCTTGGAAAATTGTTTTTTAACCTTTAACCTTTTTTTTTTTTTATTTTCATTGCCGCAACGTTTAACCACGCGCGAAAATTTTAATTTTCCATTACGACTATGTTAAATAAATCGATAATAAATCGAATGAGATGGAAAATTAAAAATAAATTACGAGCGGCGGGTGGGGGGGGAAATTTTTTTAAATAATAATAATAATAATAATGATTGAGGATAACGGTTTGCGGTAAAAAAAAAAAAAAAAATGGCGTATTTCCATACCGGTTTAATGCCGGTTTAAATTTTAAATAAATTTTCAAGTGTCAGAAGAAGATAAAAATTTTAAATGGAGACGTTGATTGTATATTTTTAATAGAAGCTATTTTGCGGTTTGACCGATGGTAGCGAACGCCTTTACGTTCGAACATTTATATTTATATATAAGATGTATTATTTCGAAAGAGAGAGAGAGAGAGGGGAAGAGTTTGAAATGGGGGAGAAAAATTTTCGCATCGTTTTTTTCAAGATTTGTAATTTGAAAAAAAAAAAAAAAAAAAAAAAAAAAGATTTGCGGAGAAAGTGGAAAAGAATCGCGCAAGCTCCCGCGTTTGCCTCCGAACGTTCGAGAAATAAAAAGATGACGTCGAACGTTAATAAGTCGAACGTGTTTTTTTTTTTTTAAATTCAAAGAAACGCCATTTTGATTCGATAAAAACAAAATTTAAAAAAAATTATTTTTTCATTTCGATGTAGAATTTTGATTTTCGTGGCAACAAAAATAAATTTCGAGCTAAGACGACGATAAAATAACGAAAGGAAACGACAAAAACAACAACAAACAAACAAACAAACAAAAATTTCTACAAATAGAATATAAAAAAAAAACAAAAAAAAAACATGGCAGGCAATTAAAATTTAACCAATCGGAGAATTAAAAAATAAATAAATAAATAAATAAATAAATTTAAACAAAAAAAGTCGACAACGCGAACGCACACGCACAAACACGCACAAATCGATTGCGCAATTTTTTTTTTTTTTTTTAATAGTTTTGAACTCATTTTAAATTGACCTTTCGTTAATTATTTGTTTTTTTTTTTTTTTTTTTTTTTTTTTAATAGCCGAACATTAAAGTAGCAGACGACAATAAGGTCAAATTTTTTTTGGGTTTTAAGAAAAAAAGTGGGGGGAGGGATAGGGGAGGAGGGTAAGAAGGAAAATAAGAGGTCAAACGATAAACTTTTTTTTAACCATATCCGGAAAAACAAAAATCATATAACAATGATAATTGTTACTGCTGTTGTTGTTGATGTTGTTGCTGTTTGGTAAAAATTTAATTTGTATATAAAATATGGTGTCCGTTGTCATGGTAACGACGGTTAATCGAAACCGTTCGCGTTCATTACGCGTTCCAATGATTTTCCTTGAAAAGCTATATATCAGCTTACGGTTGTCAATCAATAGATATAAATTCGTTACTCTAAAATACGCCCCTCGGATGATTTTCCTTCATCTCGTCTTTATTCCCCTTCCTCCCTTTCCCTTTGTCCTTCCCTCTTTTCCTTTTATCTCTCTCTCTTTCTCTCTCTCTTCTGAACATTTATTCATTTCCTTCTTCTTCTTTTATATTAATCCTTTAAACTATTAGCTCAGCGTTATCTCGACTCAAGACTCCGGCACATTTTGTTTACACAACAACATCAACAACAACAACAACAGCAGCAGCAGCAGCAGCAGCAAAATCATTCTCTTGATTGGTAATGAAAGATTTTCATTTTGAACTTGTCTTGTTGTTTAAAATCTTATTATTATTATTATTATCATTATCATTATTATTATTATTTAAATTTTGAGGTTTTTTTAGTACGGGAGTATAAACGCGACCGTTAGGGAGGAAAACGAGCGAAAGGAAAAAATTGAAAGAAAAAAAAAAAAGATAAAAGTGATTTTTCCTAGCTTTTTTTTCTCTTTCTCTCTTTAACACCCTCCCTTCCCCCCACACACACGCTCTCTCTCTCTCTCTCTCTCTCTATTCCCCCCGAACGTTTTTTTTTATTATTATTTGAAAATAAATTTTTTTTTTTTTATTTCGCGAAAATTTATCCGATGTAAATTTTAAAAAGTATATTATTAATTCGAATCGATTTCCGTTTCCGTTTTTTTTTTTTTTTTTTTCAAAAAAGAAATTTATTCATCCGTAAAAAAATTTGTCGTTACGTTATTTATTTATTTATTTATTTATTTATACAATTTATTTCACATTCAATAACAGAAAGCAAACCAAAAATAAAAAAAAAAATAAAAATAAATAAATAAATTATTGCCAATTACGAATGTTTTTCTTTTTCTTTTTTTTTTTTTATTATAAATAAATAAATTTAAATAAATTAAAATTTATGCCTTTTTATAAAGAAAGAAAGAAAGGAAGAAAGAAATTTAAGGAAAATAATCATTTCCGGTTTATATCGGTTGTTAAATAATAATAATAATAATAATAAATAATTTAAACAATTTAAAATAAAAATCGTTAAACAATTCATTCATTCATTTATTTATTTATTTATAAAAATAAAATAAAATAATAATGATTATTATTATTAAGATGATGATTAAGATTACTAATATGGTAATAATAATATTAATAATAATAATAATGATAATTTTGGGTTTTTTAAACCACCTGCTTGATATAAAGTTATTTATTTATTTTTAATTTTTTTCGTATTTTTGGTAGGAAACAGGTAAAAACTATTTTTCGTTTTTTTTTCTTTTTTTATTGGTCAATAAAAGTTAAAACAATTCCACAGGGAAGGATAAAAGGGAGAAAGAGAGAGATAGAGAGGAGGGAGGTTGGGTGTGGGGAGGCGAAAGAAGGTGAAAGTGGAAAGACAGTAACAACAACAACAACAGCAAATATTAATAATTTTTTTTTAAAAGTTAGAAATAAAAACGAAAAGAAAATAAATAATAATAATAATAATAATAATAATTTCTTACACGAGAGAAACGGAAACGGTTACAAAAAAAAAATGGCCGCCGATAATAAAAAAAAAAAAGAAAAAATTGACGGAAGCGGAACTATATGACGACGACGATACGTTCGAACGCATCTTGACTCAAATTGAATAACCGAAAATTCGTTACATACTTAACGGTCATCATTGAGTTTTATTATTATTATTATTATTATTATTATCGATAATCGATAAATCGAAAATATCGAACGGTTAAAGGTAAAATAAAGAGAATGAGCCGTCGTATTGGAATGAATTGGAATTTCGTAACGCGAAAATGATATAAATTTTCAAATGAATTTGAAAGACGAGAAACAGAGAGGAGGGCGTGTGCGTGTGCGTGTGCGTACCTTATTTAAGCGAGAACAACAAGACAAGGCCTTCTGAAAAATTAATCGATGAATTGTTCAGCAATGCAATCGAATCGAAAACATGGAGTATCCGGTCGTTAAATTAATCGGGACTATTTTTCTTATTCTTTTACGTAACGCCTTTCTCCCCCCCCTCTCTTCTCACGTCACTCCCGTTCCCCCCCTACGTGGTCGGTCGGTTGGTATCGGTTTCCATTCACTCACTCATTTTCTCTTTCTCATTACACGACAATCTAATTACAATGCAACGAAGGTTACAACGACGACATAAACGACGACGACGACGACGACGACCATATTTAACCCGTCGTGGGTAGAAACAATTCGAATAGGAAACGGACGGGATACGTTATTTTGCTTTACATTTGTTTTTATACGTGATTAGGTTTGGTTGTTGTTGTTGTTGTCGTTGCCGTTTGTCGTTCTTTTGTTTCCTTTTATTATAATTTTTTTTTTTTTTTTATTGTTTTGCCACCCCAACCGGCGCTTACGATAATAATAATAAAAACGTTAAATTTTGATTCGAGACGTTGGAAATTTTTTTTTTTTTTTTTTTTTTACCCCGTTTGTTTCTCGCGTTCGCGTGTTTGTTGTTGTTGTTGCTGTTTTTTTTTTTTTTATAACTAACGCGCGAAAAAAAAAGACATAAAAAAGCTTTTTTCTCTTTTTTTTTTTTTTTTTTTTTGAAATTGTCGTTTACGTGCGAATGTTAAAAAAAAAATTATAAATATATATATAGAAAAATACTTTTGAATAATACCATGAGAGAGAGAGAGAAGGGGTGGGGAATAGAAAAGGATAAAATCCTGGACGGCTATGGGATAAAGGAAGGAAGAAAGGGAGAAGGGAGAGGGAAAAAAAGGCAGGGTCACAAAAGCTAACTTTGTCTTTTAAAAAGCAATTAAAATGTCATCCATCATACTTTATTTTATATTATGCCATTTTTTTATTTTATTTTATTTTATTCCCCTAACTGTCTACTTTTTTTTTTTTTTGAGTCTCTTTTGTAATCTATCAGATTTTATTTAAATTTTTTTTTTTTTGTTTGTTTGTTCGTTTGTTTCTTTTTTTTTTAAATGATAAAAACCATTTTCTTCTCTTTTTAAAACGAACGAACGAACAAACGGAGTTTAGAAAAAAAATATTTTATACGTTAATTTACGCGGTTAACGGTTACGCACTTTTGGGTACGACGACAACAACAACAAAAAACATGGAAAAACAGGAAAAATCTCATCACGTGTTTGTTTTATGCCCAAGAAAGACGTGTGAAATATGATAAAAAGAAAACCGGAAATGATTATTTAAATAATTAACACCACGCCCACATTTACAAGATTCATTCCGGAACGCGAAGAGAAATTTTTCTAATATCGCGATTCTTAGATTTTTTTTCTTTGAGGAGCGGGGGAGTGGGGTGTTTGCGTTTAGAAAATCACCGTCAAATTAATCAATGTTTCGATTATGCATTTCCCACCCCCCCCCTCACCCACTTATCCAACCGACAAGAATTTTTCATTATCGACAAAAACGTCATCATCATCATCACATTCGTCGAACGTTTCATTTATTAACTCGAACGTTTTTTTTTTTTCCTGTGTGTGTGTATGTGTTTGTGAAAAAATCGTGTAAACAGATTTGTAAATGTGAAATTTTCCGATATTCCAAACGTGTCAATAACAAATTAATAATGTTTTCAATTAAAAAAAAAAAAAAAAAAAAAAAAAAAAAAAAAAACGATGATGGAATGATTTGTTTTCAATTATTTTAAAAAAAAAAAAAAATTTTTTTTTTTTATTGATTTACCGACAAATTCGTTCAAATTTCCATTTCTCTACCCACCTACCTACCCCCCCTCCCCCCACGAACCCCCACACTTTATCGAAAGGTTTAAATCATTATTATTATTATTATTATTATTGCATTAAAATATTTTTAATCGTTTTTATACAAAATCATAGATAGGGCGAGAGAGAGACCAAATTTGGTTAAAAATAAAAATAAGGAAATAAAGAATTTTTTTTATTACATTTAATAATTATCATGAATGAAACTGTTAATAATAATAATAATAATAATAATAATGATAATAATGATAATGAAAATGATAATAAATTTAAAACGAAAAAAAAAAAATGGAAATTAAATTCGAAATATTAACTATAAAAAATAATAAAAATAAATTTTATGTAGTATGTTTTTGATTCAAAACAAAAATAATAATAATAATAATAGAAAATAAATAAAAAACAACAAACGACAAACGACAACAACAACAACAACAAAGAAAAACATAAAAAATGTCTGTGTGTGTGTGTGTGTGTAAAGTAAGAGGCAGCAAAAAAAAAAAAAAAAAAAAAAAAATTTTTTTTTTTTTTGTTAATATTCAAGTCTCAATTTGACGCAGGTGAGAGGAAATGACGTCTCATCCATCCATTAATACGTTTTCCAATTTGGTAATAAAAGTAATCGATGTGATGTCGTGACCGATAGACTGACAACAACGTGTTTGTTTGCGTTTGTCTTGCGCGTTTGTACATTTGCATAATATATTATAATAAAAATTAAATAAATAATTTTTCGAAAATGAAAAAAAAAAATAAAATAAAACTCGGTGAGGTCACCGACGTTTCTAAAAAAAAAAAAAAAAACGATGTTGGTAGGAATAATAATAATACTTTTGCCCCCCTCACCCCCCGTCACGCGGTGAAGGTTCAAAAATGTCGTCATCGTTATTAGTGTCGGTCAATTAACAAATTATGTTTATTAATAAATAATTACGATGAAAACATGATAAGAAATTAATTGATTACATAAAAAAAAAAATTTCTAAGAAAATTTATTATTATTATTATTATTATTGTGGGAGATGACCCTAAGAGACAAAAATTGACACGCGGCCACCCATATTGTTTTGTCATTTGATTCTTTTAACCTATGACCTTTTGGCAACCAAAAAAAAAAAAAGAAATAAAAAAAAGATTCGAAATGACAAAACAGAAAGAAAATAAAATAAAAACGATTTGAACGACGGATCCGGAAACTGAATTAATCGAAACTTTGTCGTCGTCGTCGAATACGGAAACGCACAACCCGTCGTCGATGGAAAATTATTTGTTTTTTTTTTTTTTTTTGTAAGAAAGTTTTTCTCCCCCATGTTTCGATTATGGAAAAGTTATTTTTTTTAAAAAGAAAAAATTCACCTCCTATTCTTTCTAGTTTTAATCGTTCAGGTATGCGGAATGAAGTTTATTGAGAGTTACCTCAGTCATTTATACGTTTTTTTTAAAACGTTTTACACGTGTGTGTGTGTGTGCCTGTGTAAATGCAAAACTTTAAAGTTGGCAAGCGTGGTTTTTATCGTAACCGTTTCCGCAATGAAAATGTCCGACATATTTTTTTACGACAAAAAACCTTTCGATCATTAAATGTCGACCAACAAACGGTTGGTCGAATCAGTTTTATTTTTTTATTCAAATCATTCATTCATTCATTCGCCATATTATAATTTTTAAATTAATAATAATGATAATAATAATAATAATAATAATAATAATAATAATAATAATAATAATAATAATAATAATAATAATATCGATCAGTTTTAATTTGATTAAAAAAATGACGCGCAATAAAAAAGGAAAAAAAAAGAAAAAAGGTCGGATTTGAAAAGGTTTTTACAATTTTTTTTTTTTTTTGTAAGGGTGCGTCACTTAAACGTGTGATGATCCGTCAAATTTTTTTTCTGATTCTCCTGCCCCGACATTTTACGCTTGCGTTTTTTTTTTTTTTTTTTATTTATTCATTTAAATTTAAAAAATAAAACACGATTAAACGAAACGATTTTGTTTTTAGAACCGCGAACGAATTATTAGTTATAATAATAATTTTTTTGGGTCACACGCGCACTCGGTTGTTGTTTTCGACGTGGTTTTTAATGATTAAATAATGATAATGATAATAACGATAATAATGATAATAATGATTCAAGTTCTAAACTATTAATTTTATTACTTTTTTTTTTTTTTCTTCCTTGAAATTATTATTACACTTATTTACGGTTCGTTATGTTTCAATAAATAAAAACACCATTCGTATTATTATTATTATTATTTATTAAATATTAATTAAGTTGATTATTAATTTGTTGTTTTAACTTTTCAAAAAAAAAAAAATTTATTTAAAAAAAAAATCGTAAAAATAATAATAATAATAATGAATGAATAAATTATGGATAAAATTACAAAGTAGTTAAAATTTTATTTTTTTAAGGCGTTTTATTTACTTTGGAAAATTGTTCAGAAAAAAAAAAAGTTGTTTGTACGATTATTAATTATCATTATTATCGATTGTGTAACGATAAATGTATACGTATCGAACGAAACGAGATATCGAAATAAAAATGGCAGAAAGAAAAAAAAAAAAAAGCAAAAAAAGGGGAAATGTAAATGAATTTAATAAATAAATTCGTTTGTTTTACGAAACAAAAAAAAAGGAAACAAAGAAGAAAAAAAGGGCAACAACGAGAACAACAACAACAACAAACAACAATTAATACAAGAAAAATTAAATGGATAGAAAAGGAAAAAAAAAGGAAAAGGTTAAAAGAAAAAGAAGGATCGATTTTAAATTATTTTTTATATAACTTCAAACGAAATTTTATAACATGTCAGAGTAAGAGAGAGAGAGAGAGAGAGATGGGTAAAAAGAAAAGGAAAACATTTTAGTTTCCGACGAACCTTTTTTTTCCCCCCCTTTTCTTCTACCTCCCTTCTCCCCTTTAACGTAAAAAAAGAAAAAAAAGATGATAAAATGGGCGGGTTAAAAAAAAGAAAAAAAAAAAAAGGTAAAAAAGAGAGAGGACACGAAGGTGAATGATGATGATGATGATGATAATGATGATCGTATTGAATAAAACAGAAGCTGGAGGAATAAAAAAAAAAAAGGAAAAAAAGGAAAAAAAAAGGTTCGGATGAATTTTTTTTTTATTAGGGAAAAAGGTCAAAATGAAGGAAACATGTTTTTTACTTTACTACGTATCGATCATCATGTTTGAATCTATATAACACATGAAAAAGGTAAAAAAAAAAAAAAAAAAAAAAACTGAAAACAATACACGTGTTGTTTTTGTTGATAATGACGACGACGATGATAAATGATTAATAATAATAATAATGATAATGATAATAATAATAATTAATTACTCACCCGTTAAAAGGGTAACCGAAACTATCGTAAGGATGATAAACCGATGGATAAGGCCATGACGCCGCCGCTCCAGCAGCAGCTAAATTTTCCTTAAGCTCGAGACCAGCCTGAAAATGGAAAAAAATAAATATAATAATAATGATAATGATGATGATATTGATAATATTAGGGCGGGGGACGAAGAAGGGGGTGTGTGTGCGTGCGCGAAACGTTCAGCGATTCGTATACGAATTTTTTTTCCTTTTACTTTCCCAGTTTCTTTTTCCCCCGTGAAGATACTTTAAAACTGGCAGGAAGGGGGTGGGGATGAGGGAAAATTAAAAAGTGGCGGCAGCACCGACGACGACGACGACGACAACGAGGAGGACGACGACGAGTATGAAAAGTGCGTCATAATAAAAAAAAATAAAAAATGTCGAATAAATTTTTTTTAATAAAAATTTAATTTAAAATAACAAGGGCGAAAGGAATGGCGGAGGTGAATAATGTGATGAGTTTGCATGTAAAACAGCTTGAGCTGACAATTGCTTAGTGACAAACTGTAAATTTTCCCGGTTCGCCTTTTTTTTTTTCAGACTCATATTTTCGTACTGTCGCCTTTGGTCTCTCTCTCTTTCTCACTCTTTCTCTCATTTTCTCCCCCTTTCTTCCATACGACACAATTTTTTATGCATTTATTGCATTTAAAAAAGCACGCACGCACTCACCCACTCACACACACACACACACACGAACACAAAAAAGAATTTATATAAGTTGATTTTTTTTTTTACTGTAACACGGTGTCGACAGTTTTCCCCGTTTAAAAAAAAATTATTATTATTATTATTATTATTATTATTATTATTATTATTATTATATTAACAATTTAAAAAAAAAAAAAAACGCGCGCGCGGGTTTTTTTTTTTTTAAATGTTAGTTATACGTCACACGTGCTAACGAATCTGATTATTATTATTATTATTATTATTATTATTATTATTATTATTATTATTATTATTATTATTATTATTATTATCAAACGTGATTCGAAGAATGAAAATTGTCGTGTCACCATCCAAAAAAAAAAAAAAAAACGAATTAAAACCGTTTTGAGTTTTTGTAATTGATTGTCTGTTTTTTTTTTTCTTTATGAAAACATTTAAATCTTTTTTTGTTTGTTTGTTTGTTTGTTTGAACAAACGGATAACCATATATACCGAAATGTTATTTTTGTCTCGTTCAATTCCTTATAATAAAACACGTTTTGCATATTGAATGAGAAAAACGCGGACGGATCGTTTTTGTTGTTGTTGTCGTTGTGGTTGTTGTTTCGGACATTTTTTTTTTGTTTGTTTGTTTGTAAGGTAGGAAAAAACACGATTGAGATTAGAACGTTGTAGAACGAATGAATGAATGACAAGAGTTTGGTGGATTTATTTAAACGATTATATACACCCGCGGGATTTGGTCGAAACGAAACGAGGAAAATATGGTTATGACGTCACTAAGGAAGTGAAAAAGAAAAAAAAACCGGAAGTTGAAAATGTAATGAGAAAGAAGAAGAAGAAGAAGAAGAAGAAAAACTCGCAGTAAATTCGATTTAATTAAAATTATTTATTAATAGAGAGCAATATAAGGCGCAAAAGACAAAAGCTCTAATAAAACAAACACACGCACGTACAACGAATAAAAAAACAAACAAACAAACAAACACACACACACACACATCATTTGTAATTGTATCATCATTGTTTTCAACTTTCATTGTTTTATTTGTGTGCAAAAAAAAAAAAAGAAAAACCGCCGAAATGAACATAACGCATTGAATTCGAATAAGAAAGAAAGAAAAAAAAGTGCGAGCTTGTTGCAAAAAAAAAACAACAACAACAACAACGACGACAACAACAACAACAATGCAATCGTATAAGGAATAAGACATGGAGTGTCATTATTATTATTATTATTATTATTATTACGATTTTTAAAGACGTTCGCCTTTGCGAAAAAATAATAAAAGAAAGAAAGAAAGAATGAAAACAATGGATTGTTTATTTTAAAAAAAATTTATTTGCGCAATTTTATGTGGAATCCGACAATTTTATGTTACAGAACAAAACAAAACAAAAAAAACATTAAAGAAAACATAATTTAAACAAAAAAAAAAAAAAAACTTAACCGACTAACACACGACGAGTAACAAAACACACGACGACATTATTATTTAATTTTTTTTTTTTCGTTAACGGAAAATTTTCTTTTTTTTATTAGTTTTAATTATTTTCTTTCGACAAACGACAAACAAACAAACAAACAAATAACTCATTTATCGGTTGTTGTTGTTGTTTTCTTCATATTTAACTTATCGATAAGGAGGAGAAAAAAAAAATAGAAAATTGATAAATTTTAATTACGATTGATTAATTGAAGGAGTCGTTTTTATGCCATATCAATCACGCGAGAGTAAAAACAGAGAGAGGAAGGTGGTAGGAGGGAGGGGAGGAAGAGAGAGGGGGAAAGAGGAGGGGAGGATATAAAAAAAAAATATTTTTCACCCGTCGCCGACCGACCGATACCGTAATATAAAAACTTATAAATTTAAAACTGACTATAAAGTCAAAGTCAGTAAATTTTAAATTGTAATAACAACAACCCCTAAGAATAGAGTGAGAGAGAGAGAGAGAGAGAGAGAAAGAAAAAGGAGAAGGAAAAAGGAAAAAAAAGGGTTGAAAATGCAAGTTGACGACGTTGTAACATCTGTTCAGATTCCTTTTTATTACTTGATATTATTATTACTATTTCAATATATATATATTTTACTATTAACAGAGAGAGAGAGAGAGAGAGGCGGGAAAGGGTTTTTTTTTAACGCCCCGTTTATTATTATTTATTCTCTACTCTTTTTCTTCTTCCTTCTTTTTCTTCCTCTTTTTCTTTTCACTTTTTTATAACATAAATTAATTTTTAAAAAGAAGGCAAAAGGTTGAGAAAAGAGAGAAAACAATTAAGGCTCATCAGCGAATTAAATAATAAAAAAAAAAAAAGAAAAAGAAAAAAATGAAATGAAACAATTGAAAATAATAATAATAATAATAGTAATAATAATGATAATAACGAAAGAGAGAGTGTGTGTGAGAGAGAGAGAACCTTTGTGTCCGCTAAATCAAAAAGGTTAAAAAAAAGCTTATTTCGATGTAAATCGATGCTGAAAAATAATAATAATAATGATCGAACAATAACTTTTGATTATGTGCAAACACAATTTTTTTTTTTTTTTTTTTTTTCTGATAGACGTGAAATCATTCAATTTGCACGTGGGAAGGAAGGGAGGGAGGGAGGGAGGGAGAGGGGAAGGGCAGAAGGGAGTAGTAGTAGGAGGGAGAAGGAGGAGGGTATCGAAAAAAAAAAGAAAAAAAAATTGATCGTCATTGTCGTCGTCGTTTAAACTAACGGAAAAGCCTAAAAAGAATAAAAACAAAAAAAATCGGATTCGTACGGGAAATAATAATAATAATAATAATAATAATAATAATAATAATAATAATAATAATAATAATAATAATAATAGTAATAATAATAATAATAATAATAATAATAATAACAAATTCAATGAAATAAAAATATATCGAATCGAATCGAATCGAATGGAATCGGCAGCCATAGTTCCAAGAAATCGATTTAAAAGCCTAAAAAAAAAAAAACCGACAAAGAAGATTACGCGAGAATAGAAAGAAGAAGGTAGCGAAAAATTAATAAAAAATTGCGCAATCGCACCATTTTTTTTTTATAATGAATTTCTAAGAACGAAAATAATAATAATAATAATAATAATAATAATAAAATGGATAAATATTGTTGTTGTAAATAAAAAAAAAAAAAAAAAGAGAAATTAATGGCGTCGGATGAGAAAATAAATAAATAAATAAATCGTTTATACGAACGAACGAACGAACGAACGAGGTTATTGATCTGATTTATATAAAAATTTTGTTTTTTTTTTTTACAAAATGGCGGAAACATGCCGTTGTTTTCAAAAAAAAAAAAAAAAAAAAATTCAAATCTTTGAATCGATCGAGCCTTAAATAAAATGGCGATTTGGAAAATTCTTTTACGGGGGAGGGAGAGAGGAAGGGATCCCCGTAAAGTGAGAGGAATGAATGGATGGAACGATACGTTTTGAGTTGATTTTGCCATTTTTTTTCTGTCGAATATTTAATAATTAATAATAATAATAATAAAACACACAATTATATATTTTCAAATAGAATAAAGAATGAAAAGAAAAAAATAAAGAAAGGAAGGAAGAAAAAAAAAGAACAAGAAAAGCGAAAAATGTAAAAGGAGCTCAAAAAAAAAAAAAAAAAAAAGTTTTTTTTGTCTTACGTAAAAATAAAAGCGCTCGAACAAGCCATTAAATCAATGAATGAATTTTTTTTTTTTTTTTTTGTACATTTGTTGAATAATCAATTTTTCAGGCTCGTTTTTTGACTTTTTCATTTTTTTTTTTTTTTTAAATGAGCTGGCGTGAGTGAGTGTTTGTCTGTCTATCTGTCTGTCTGTTGTGTGTTTGTTGCATTCATTGTTTTGTTTTGTACCTTTTTCCCCTCTCTCTCACTCTCTCTTTCTCTTTGCCTTTTCGTTTCGAATTAAATGAATTAAAAAAACAATATTATGATGTATGTGACGTCATTGAATGCGCATTCAGAAATTAATAGGAGAATTTGATTTGAAGCAAAAGTGCCAACGTTTAACAAAAAAAATTGTTTCTATGTGAAGGCGCAATAAAAGTTTAAAAAAAAAACAAAAACACGTGGTGGTTGTTTGTAGTGGTGGCCAACCTCGAAAAAATTTTAAATATTAACGCCATTTTTTTTCTTCGTAACAACAAATCGTCCTTATTTTAAAGGTTGTTATTATTATTATTATATTAAAAATTAAGGTCTCTCGATAATTTGAAATATTAATAATAATAATAATAATAATAGGCCGTTATTTAGAAAGAACAACAACAACAACAGACGCAAGTTTGTTTTTTTTCCTCCTTCTTCTTCTTCTTAATTGAAGTAAGTTTGTCTTTTATTACTAATAATGATAATAATAATAGTAATACTTACGGAAGGAGTGTAAAAAGGTGCTTGATCGGCTCCCAAAGCTGGAAAATAAGCTGCCATACCGTCGGCGTAAGGCGCACTGTACATTGATAGTGCAGGTAACCCTGCGGGACCGACACCGGCGCTTGCCAACCTTTGATAACTTAATAAATCGTATTGACAAGAGCAAACGGTTTGACCGGTTATGGGATCGGTGAAAAGGGGTCTCCCCGTGTCGCAACATCTACCCGGTGTAGGACTCGCAGGTCGCGTACCGGTTCCTGCCGTTACCGCCGTCGCGTTTGTCGATTCGACAACCGGCGACGATGGACTACTTCTACTTGGTCGAGGTGAACTGGGTCCTACTGACGATGATAAACCAGACTGCAAAAAAAAATTATTATTATTATTATTATTGTTTTAATTAATTGAAAGTTTGGATACCACCAGCGTCACCGTCAACGCCATCGCGACGTGACAAAAAGGGAAAAATGAAAAGCAAAATGAGGAGAAAAAAGAGTAGAAACGGAGGGAAAAGAGAGGGAAAAAGGGTAGAATGAAAAGGTGGGAGAGGGTAAAGGGAAGGGAAGGGAAGGGATGATGATGATGACGACGATGTAGTCGAATGCATTTCAATTAAAACCAATTTAATTAATACATTTTAAAATGACATTTAATACTTATTATTATCATTTTGGAAAACTCAATCATTTTACGCTTTACACAATCCCCGAGTGAGCGAGAGTGAGTGAGTGCATTTACAACAAAACAATTGCAATTATACACGGCGTCATAATATACGCGTTTTCGGTTTTGTACGACAACGACAACAACAACAACAACGACAACGAGACAACGAGACAACACTTCATATTTTGTGTTTACATTTTGTTAAATTACATTTTTTTTTTTTTTTTTTTTTTCATTTTATGAATTGGTTACCTGTGTTAAAAATTGAATTTTTTTTTAAATTTTTTTTCCCTTCCCCCCTCCGCTCCTTTGACGTGTGGGGAGCTCAAAATCCGAGATTTCGATTTATAAAAACATTTCACGATATTCAATTTATTATTATTATTATTATTATTTTTCCCTGTTATTCTTTTTTCTTTTCGTTTTTTCATCGTTTATTGTCTATCAAACGTCAAAAATGGATAGAATTATTATTATTATTATTTTAACGTAACGCACACGCACGCACGCACACACACGCATATTTATATATATATATGTGTGTGTGTGTGCGCGTGTGTATAAATAAATTGTCAATCGAAAAATTAATCAATCGTAAAAATGGCTTTTTGATTTAGTCAAGTATAAGTGAAGACCTGTCTAAAATGTTGAGCAACATTCCCTCCCGTGTGAAATCCGTTTTTTTTTCCATTTATATCCACGTACAAGAAGCGACAAATGTTTTCATTTTCAATTTATGAAAATCTCCCCCTATCCCTTCCTTCCGCCCCCCTCGAAAATAAAAAAAAAAAAAGATGAAAACGATTTGACTTTTCTTCTTATTATTATTTTTTTCTCCCTTTTTATTATTATTACGGATTTTGACGGTTATTTACAAAAAAAAAATTATTACTCGATCGTATTATTTATTTATTATTAAAATATTGTAAAAATCCCCGCGCTCCGCCCCCCCCCCGAAAAATAAAAACAAATGATGAGTGAAATTATGTTTCCGTCGTCTTCGTCGTCGTTATTTGATATTTAAACGCGTTGGAATTTTTACGAAAAAGAAAAATAATTATATAAATATATATATAAATCGGTATGTTTAAAAGCGACATAAAATCATCCCTTAAGATAATAATCATCCCTAATATTCCACACGATCGAATTTTAATCTTGGAAGGAAAAAAAAAAAAAAAATTGTAAAAGGAAACTTTTTCCTTTTTTTAAAAACAGTTTTTGGGCGTGAATAATTTAATAATTCTATTTATTAAGCTATTCGAATCAACCCCCTTATAAAATGATCATCCCCTTTTTTTTTTTTTTTTATTTTATTTTATTGTCATTATTTTTAAACGTAATCGGATTGAAAAAAAAAAAGAGACAGAGAGAGACGGAGAGAGAAAGAGAATCGAAACGAAAAGTTAGAAAGATGGAAAAGGATAAAATATAAAAGGGAAGGAAAAGAGAGTAGAAAGAAAGAGATAGATAGATAGATAGAGAGGAAGAGAGAGAGAGAGATGGAAAGATCCCGTTTTGACCTTATACGGATTGTAAACTCTGGCCAAAAAACGAAACGCGACAGCCGAATGTATATTTTATGTTCGGTCCTCATTTTTCTTTGGGTGATTAATGTCGGTTACGATTAGATAAATCGCGTAAAAGATTATTTATCCACAACCGGTCGAACAAGAATTATATTCTCTAACTCTCTCTCTCTTTCTCTCTTTCTCTCTTTTCCGACCGCTAGGATTGCTGCTATAATTTTAAAGCTATCGGATTTTAATTTTTTTTTTTTTTTTTGTGTGTGTGTTGGTAATTCTAGAACTTTGACACTCAACACAAAAAAAAGAACATGATTTAACAACAACACACGGGTTGTTCTTAAGAAAAGAATAAGAAAAAAAGAAAGTATGATGATGATGATGATGTATAAACATGGATGGTGATGTCATGAAAATACATAAGCCGCGTGACGGTTTTTATAAATATCGAATGACGATTTAAACGGGGGGGCGAGGGGTGAACGAGTGAAAGGGGAAGGAATCGATTCGGTAAAGGTAAAAGAAAGAAAAATTTTTGGGTGGTTGTTTTTTTTTTTTTTTTTCCCTTTTTCTCGTAGTGATTTTAGAACGTGAGTTTTTGAAATCGAATGGCAAAGATAATAAGAAAATGTTTGTTTGTTTGTTTGTTTGTTCGTTTGTATTCATAAGGTACAACGCGAGTAATGACGAATGTTTTAACGTATAAAAAAAAAATTTTAAATAAGGATCAGATACGAGGGGAGAAAGAGAGAGAGAGAGAGAAAAGGAATTTCATTCAGAATTTTTTTTTTTGGTTGTTGTTGTTGTTTGTGTTAAATAATGACTTTTTAACAACAAGAAAAAAAAAAAAAAAAAAGAAAATGAGATTGTATACGACAAACACAAGAACCAACCAGGTATTTTTCTTATCTTAATGTGGTCAGTTTTTGACTTTTGCGTTTATTTTCAGGTAGATAAATGATATTATGACCCTTGGTGTTTGTTTTTCTCGTTTTTATAATGATAATGATAATAATAATGATGATGATGATGATGATGAAGAAAAAAACTCGCGCGAAGGCGTACCAACAAATAAAAAAAAAAAAAAAAAAGATTGCGACACGCCAACAAAAAAATTTCAAAATTTTTTTTCTTCTTCTTTTTCTTTTTTTTTTTTTTTATTTTCATTATTTTTCATCGCTTAATAGAAAATATTAAAAAGAAAAAAAAAGGGAAACGAAAAGAAAAATGTCGTTTTTTTTTTTTTTTTTTTTTTTTTTGTAAAATGGCGTAAAATTTCCCTTCACGCTCTTTTTTTTTCTTTTTGGTTTAAATCGAGGATTTGAATTAATGAATTTTTTTCTCTCTCGCTCAAACACAACAATTATCGATTTTAAAGAAATTGTTTGCTTGTTTGTTTGTTTGCCGTTTGTATAATACTATGACAAACGCACGTGTTTTCACGTGAATTTGCGTGCGTGCGTGTGCGTAACAATCGAATCGTAATCTTACTTTATTCGGGTTTAACAATCGCGCGCCATTTAAATTTTTTTTCCCCGTTTCTACTTCCACTTTTTTTTTTTTTTTTTTCGTAACGACAAAAGTAAGAAATTTAATTCCTTATCTTTTAACACGAAAGTACCTTAACAATAAATCACACACAATTTTATTTTATTTTATTTTATTTTTGGCGGGAAAAAAAAAAAAACGAAAAACGAAAATAAAAATAAAATGCATTAAAATTACTAAAAAAAAGAAAAGAAAAGAAAAAGAAATAAAGTTAAACGGGGGGAAAAGAAAGAAAAAAAAAAAAAAAAAAAAAAAAAAAAAAAATTCCCGGTTGGTTTTTAAAAAAAAAATCCCCTTCCCCTTCCCCCCCCCCATAACCCCCTTGGTCCCCACAAAGAAGTCGAAATTTTTTTTTTTTTTTTCAATAAAAAAAAGGAATCCCCCCCCTTAA